AAAACTGCAGTGGCTGACCCGCAGGATCCTGCAGGATCCCGTGCCCTGGCTGACCCCCGTTTGCCTCGACCCCCGTCTCGAGGCTCCCGCGCAGGTGCAGGCGCGCCGGTGCCGCCCCAGGAGAGAGAGAGGGGCGCCCACCACGGCGGGGGAGGAGCTCGTGGCGGAGGCGGCCGCGCCTCCCGTGGGGCCCGTGGACCACTGCTGCGGCGTCGCGTCGCTGGTGCCTCGCGGGGCGGGCGCGGGGGGCGGCGGCAGCGGCGCGCCGGGCCGCGGCGGACCCTGTGGTTCGGAGGCAAGTGGCTCCTCCTCCTCCTCCTCCTCCTCCTCCTCCTCCTCCTCCTAATCCTCCTCCTCCACCTACCTCCTCCTCCTGCTCTCTCCTCCTCCTCCTCCTCCTCCTCCTCCACCCTCCTCCCTCCACCTCCTCCTCCTCCTCCTCCTCCTCCTCCTCCCCCCTCCTCCCCTCACCCTTTCTCCATCTCCCTCTCATCCTCCTCCTCCTCCTCCTCCTCCTCCTCCTCCGCCTCCGCCTCCTCCACCTCCTGCTCCTCCTCCCTCCTCGTCCTCCACGACCCTCTGCGGAGAGCCGGTCGGGGCCCAGCCCTCACGTGGCACCGTCTTGCCTCGGAGGCCAGCACCCGCCCCGCCTCGGCCGTGGTCAATTTGCAGCAGCTTCGCCTGTGGGGGGAAGCGGTTCTGCTGAGAATCTCCAGAGGCTCGTGCAAGGGCCCCCTCGAGGCTGATGCCGTGTCTCTCGCTAGGGTTTTCGTTGGGGCTTCCATGGGCCGTTCAAGTTTGAGGCCCATGGACTGCAATCAAGTCGGGCCTGTCCCCCTACAGGGGGATTTGGACGACAAATTAGAAATACCCAAAAAATAATCAAACAATGCTCAAAAATAGTTAAAACATTGTCCCCAGACTATGTGTTGACTAGTTTTGGATATTCCTCCTGTAGAGGGACAGGCCCGACTTAAGACTACAAGGAGGCGCTCCCGCTGCGTGGCGGTGAGGAGCAGCCCCAACGCAATCGGCGGGCGGGGTTCCCAGAGCCTGCAGGCGGAGGCCGTTGCCGCCTGGGCCCGCTGCTCCAGAAGGTGACACTTCACCAGAATATGTGGAACCCCTGTCCCCCCAAAAGCGAAGAATTTAGGCCTGCCAGCGGCAGCGATGCCGCTGATCGGGTTGCCGAGGCCGCCGCGAACCTCGGGTTGCCGACCCAGCTCTGCGGAAGCAGAGCAGCACCAGAGCGACACTGCTCTGCTTAAGAAGTACCTCCGATATGCTGCTAAAGCCCTCGGAGAGTGGCCAGCTATAGCCCCGTGTAGAAACAAGGCGCTGGCCAAACCTGTGAAGAGCCTCTCCCCTCATTCGGCGCTGGCCTCTCGGGACCCTCAGGCTCCTTGCTCTGTGTCCCCCTGGCCCCCTCCTGTGGCCCCCTGCGTATCCCCGAGGGCCCGTGGTTTCGCTTTTGTCAATGGCCAACGCCGGTGCACGATCTGTCGCATCCGCGTCCGCTCCCACAAAGCCGAGGAGGATCCGATGCGTGCGATGGATTGCCCTGGACACTGCGCTCAGATGTCCGACCTCGTGTCTAACCCCAAGACGCATGACCTGCCATGAGCACCTAGAGCAGCCCACGAGCATTATTGTGCGTCATCGCTGCGGTTCGTTCAAGCAGGGCGGCTCGCGAGGACTGCAGGGACCAGTGCAACAGGACACCTCCGCACAGTGGAGACAAGCTGCCACTACGGCGCAGGAAGCCGACGGCCACTGTAGCCTCAGTGGAGGCATCACTTAGTCCGTCGGCACGACCCCGAAACCGCCTCTGTCAGGCGACGGACCCTGCCCTGGCCTGGGGGCGACGGAGCCATGGGAAGGGCCGGCAGGCCGCCGAGGCCGCTGAGGCGGCTGACGGACTCCAGGTCGCTTCAGTCGCGGGTCCCCCTGGGAGGACCCTGGCTCCGTGTGGTGGCCCAGCGCCCCTCATGAGATGCGCTTGCTTTGCGCGTGCCACGTCCACGATGTGTGCTGCGCGTGTCGCACGCGCGTCAGGCACCCCAGCGGCCGCACCCTTCGGGGCCTCGAGGCGCGGACGGAAGAGGGTGCATGCGCACATCTCATGCTCGTGCCCTGCCGTTCCGTGCGTGCAGGGCTTTCAGCTGCATGCAGGGGGCCGCTGCAGCCAGAGACAGAGGCCAGGAGCCGAAGGTTTCGGGTTAGGCTCGTGTCGGCCAACCCCTAGCCTTTCATCATCAGCCACGTGTTAGTCCTCCTCCTCCTCCTCCTCCTCGTCCTCCTCCTCCGCCTCCTCCTCCTCCTCCCTCCTCCTCCCCCTCCTCCTCCTCGCCCTCCGCCTCCTCCTCCTCCGCCTCCTGCCGGGCCGCGCCGCACATTTTTGTTTTCGGAGGCAGCACACCCCTCCAGAGTGCGAGAAAAACCACAACGGAAATCGTGCCGTTCTGGACTTCTTCACAGCGTCGACCCCCCCGGGTCTACGACCCATTCCCTGGTACCACTCGCCAGGGGTCAGGAAATGGCGCCAGGGAATGCTGCCAGGGGATGGTGCCAGAGATGGGTGCTGGGTACTCAGGATACAACGCTGGTGACAAGGAATGGGTGCCAGGGAAAGTCGCGAGGCACGAAGGCGGGAAATGGTGCCAGGGAATGGGTCTACGACCCATTCCCTGGCACCTGTGCTGTATCCCGGGTCGTTTGCGACGGCCCCAGGGGCCTGGCGAGGGCTCCCCGAAGTAGACATGTTAGCCAACGTAGACCCCAAACGGTGTGTTCCTACCAGTCTATGTTGTGCAGTAGATGTGGTGCTACCAACTCTGCACGCTAGATGACATGTAATCTCTGTGGTGCGAAATATGCTGCGCAACATGTGTTTGCAATCTATGTGGAGAGCGCGTTTCACGGGCGCTTGCCTTCGGAACATTTGGCGGCGCGCTTCGAACCGGGAGGTGGGCCCCCCGCCCCCAACACTCGGCGCCGTCGATCAGAACCAGGGGGAACTCCCCACCCCTACCCCCCCCCCCCTTCCCAACGGGGGGGTCCAAACCCCCGTCACCCCCCCTTGGCGCCGGAGCTGCGTGTGTGTGTGTGTGTGCCTGTGTGTGCGGGTGTGTGCGGGTGTGTGCGTGTGTGTGTGTGTGTGTGTGTGTGTGTGTGTGTGTGTGTGTGTGTGTGTGTGCGTGCGTGCGTGCGTGCGTGCGTGCGTGCGTGCGTGCGTGCGTGTGTGTGTGTGTGTGTGTGTGTGTGTGCGTGTGTGCGGGTGTGCGTGTGTGTGCGTGCGTGCGTGCGTGCGTGTGTGCGTGTGTTGTGTGTGTGTGTGTGAGTTCGTGTGCGTATGTGTGCGTGTGCGTGCGCGTGCGTGTGTGCGTGTGCGTGAGTGTGTATATGTGCGGGTGTGCGTGCGTGCGTGTGTGCGTGTGCGCCTGCGTAGTGTGTGCGTGTGCGTGTGTTGTGTGTGTGCGCGTGTGCGCGTGTGTGTGTGTGTGTGTGTGTGCGTGCGTGCGTGCGTGCGTGTGCGTGTGTGTGTGTGCGCGTGTGTGTGTGGTGTGTGTATGTGTGTATGTGTGTGCGGGTGTGCGTGACCGTGTGAGCGTGTGTGTGTGTGTGTGTGTGTGTGCGTGTGCGTGTGCGTGTGCGAGTGTGTGTGCGTGTGTGTGCGTGTGCAGGTGCGTGCGTGTGTGTGTGTATGTCTGTGCGTGTGTGCGTGTGTGTGTGTGCGCGTGTGTGTGTGTGTGTGTGTGTGTCTGTGTTGTCTGTGCGTGTGTGTATGTGTGTGTTTGTTTGTTTGTTCGCCGCCTATGCGGAACGTCGTAGCTTCGCACCGTCTCAGCCCAAGCCGCGCGCCAAGGCAAACGATGCAGGCGGCGGTGGGTGAGGGGGAAGTACGAGGGTGGGGCGCGGTCCGCTGCGCAGCCACCCAACACCGAAGTACACACCCAGCACGCTGCTCTTGAAAGCACTCAACCGCCAGGACCAGCCCCTTTTCCCGTACTGGTGGACCCACCCTGCGCGCAAACACACGCAACGCTGGACAACCACGGTGCTGCAAGCCGAACGCGGCATGCAGCTCGTGCTGTTGCGCGCTGCCTCGGCGAGGGTGGGTGTCAGTCGGTTCCGGGTGGCGTGATGAGGCACACCTGCACCGCGCGGGGCCGCACAACGCTCACGATAGCATGTGGGGCCGCGGGTGGGCGAGAGAGCGTGCTTGAGCCACACACGTGAGCAGTGCAGCACTGAGACGGGCAGCAGTGAGACGGGCGGGCAACGACGCCGACAGCCTCGCGGCAATTCCCTTGGGGGGGGCCACCCCCGCAAGCTGCAGCGCGGTCACGCCAGGAAGCGCCATTCCAGAGGGGTACGCCGCGGCGCAACAAGGATGTGTCACCCCAGCAGGTTTCACCGCAGATCCTCCTGAAGCGCCAACCCACCAGGTTGCACAAGAGAACCACCTGGAGACCAAATCGTTCAAGTCCAGCGCCGCCCGCGGATGCGGCTGCGACCGCAAGCCCGCGGCCATGACTCCATCTCACGGCCGCACCTTGCAATCGAGCTT